CATAGCACTTAGCACATGGAGGTGTGTGAAGAACCTGGGGAGCATTTCTGAAAGAATGGTCCAGGCAAAGGGCTGACTGAAGAGGGACTAGTGGAGTACTTAACACAAGGCTTGGGAGGTTGTGTCCTCTCCAAAACCCTCTGTGCTGTGTTTTATTAAAAAAATTTTTTTTAGTTATTAATCTATCACCTTTTGTGTGTGTGTGCTGTATTTTATACATTGTCTAATTAAGGATTCTCCAGTCAAATCTGGCCACCCTCATTTCCTTACTCTTTATGACCACTTAGTACTACAAATGCAGAATTGCTATCGTCACTAAGTAGAAAATATTATCTCACCTTTTACAGAAAAAAATCTATGGACCCCCTACTCTAGACTTCACTAGTCCCTGAACTGCTTCGTGTTCCAAGAAGACAGTAGGTCCTTACCTTTGTGGACATGCTTATTGACAAGGCTGCCATCACTACTCCATTCTCTTTAAGAAGTCTAATATTAACTCTCCTTGGGGCTTGCACACATTTAATCATAAATCCTGTATCTATAGTTACTGTAATTATTTGCTTACGTATCTCTCTCCTCTAGTACATAATCTTGAGGACGAGATAATCCTAGTGCTTAAAAATGTCATTTTCTTCTCACCATTTCTCTAGTTTCCTATACTCCAACCAAAAGAAATTTGCATTTTTAGTTTATTAAATGTTTTCAAAAATACAATTTATCATGAAAACAAATGATCAATAGATTTATAGTATCATTTCTGTAAAATTGGTGGACATCACTTATTTCTAACAATTTATTTAGTATAAGCAATGCAATCTTGCCTTTTCTGGGATGAACATTTTCATCTATGGTAGTGATTTATGCACCTAGGATACAGGGGCTGCAACAATAATTATTTTACCAATGGCTTCAGAGTCAACTGTAAAATATAAGTCAAATATGTAAAATTTGTTTTTAAGTTTTACTTTTTTTGCTTTAATATTAATCTTCTATACCTTAGTGATAGTTATATTCTCCTTATCTAGAACTCTTACTTTTTGCTTATTTCTCCATTACGTTTTTTTTTTTTTTTTTTTTTTTGGTTGGGTCTGGG